AGCCAGGGGTCGGATCACCTTCGCCCTTCTCGTCTCCCTCCACCACCTGCCTACCATCGTCTGCCTTACCCCGTCTATCGTTGACCGTGGACAGCGCTATCCCGAGCTTGTCCCCTAGCTTCTCCCGGAGGTTCCCCTCGGCGCTGGAAGTGTCGACCGGCCCCGCCGCGGTTGACGTAGCGTCGTCCCCATCCGCGCTGTTGCCGTTCGACCCCCCACTTTCGCTTTCGTCTTGCGGTCGCCGTCGTTTCTTCCCGGCGGTCAAGGAGACAGAAGCAGCGGAGCCGTTCTCCTGGTCAGCCGGTGCACCGGGCTTGGCGGATTCTCCTTCCGTACCTCCACCGACCGCGATGCCGCAAGACGCACCGCCCACGGAAGCAGCTGTGCTCGAAGCTGTGTAACTTGAGGAAGGGCGTTGGCTTGCGCTTGAGCCGGGCACAGCGGCGGCTGCACGCCGAACGTCGGAGTTGCTCGATCCTCCGGTTGCCGGCGCACCACCCGTGTTGCCTTGCCCAGGGGCGGGCGAAACAGGCTCACCCTTCGCCAGCGCTAGCTGCCTCTTGTAGTAGGCGTGGAATTTGTTCGCCGGGTTGAGGAAGTCGAACGTAGGGTTCGATACTTCCCTGGCTCGTAACAACAGAGCGCGGCGGCGTGGGAGGGCGGGGGGAGGGTCAGACGAAGGCGTCGGAGTCTGCTGCTGAAGAAAAAAAGGTCAAGGGAATGCGGTTTCAACACTACGAGGCGCATGACCGGTCTTCTACTCTTTGTTCACTACTAGGGAGTGCGACCTACGTCTCCCCACAGGGACTGGAGTCTTCCGTGATGTGAATCCTGTATTGTAGCGCGCTCACTTCGCGAGAGCCAAAACGAGGTACAAGTACTCGCAGCACTCACTCAGCTGGCAAAAACGTCATGCGGTGTTCGAGGTCATCACCCACTCACACTTCGCTCTTGCCGCTGGAGTAAAAAGAAGCGGATTCTCAATCGCTCGTCGGGAAGGTATCGCAACAACTCGACGGCATCGGACCACGCGTTCCGCATGCTAGCAAATATAACGAGACAACACTCACGCCTTGGTCGAACAAACGCGAAACTTCACTCAACAAGGTTAACGTAACGCCTCTCGCCCCGCAGCCGAATCCACCGATAGCCCTCACCTCTTCCTGACACGGTCCTCGAACGCCTGGCCGTTCTTGGCGACGTAGCCGACCATCTTCTCCACCACCTGTCGCTTCTCTTCCCCTGGCACCGCCGGGGACAACAACACGCCTTCCCCCACCGAACCCCCCGCCTCCCCCAAGCTCACTCCCGCAGCCAGCGGCAACGTTGTCCCTGTGGGAGCGGCGGTGGCCGGCGGGACGGCTGCGGCGGTGGAGGCGTTATCCTCCTCGTCTTCGGAGGATTCATAAGCGCCGCCCAGCAGATTCGGAGCGCCCACTTCGTCCGAATTTTCGGCGTCCGGCGGTGGTGGCGGCGGAGGGGAAGGAGGAGGAGGAGGCGGCGGCGGCGCTTCCTTGGCAGCTGCAGCGGTAGGACCGGTGACCGACCGTGATTGCCGTCGTGGCGACAACGGGAACAAGTGCCGTGCAAGACGAGGGTTTCGGCAGACGAGAGGAGGGGGGGGTGGCGACGAATGCGAGCGGACGTGGGCAGGGGGCGGGGGGTCGTCAGCGTCGTCGATGAGAACACGGCCAAGTCGGTGTGCAAGCGGGAAAAGGTGCAGCAGCACGGCTCACCGACGTGGCTCCATTCCTCCATCCAGACACACCAATAAACAACCATGAGAGCCAACGGCTCGCAACGGTCAGGTCAAGTCAGCGCGTGGAGCTGAAATGGCGGAACATTCAACGACCGTCGCCCGCGCATCACGGAGAGCCGTTGGAGGAAGAGCCGCAGTTGCCGGTGAGATGGGGTCAGCGCGCAAAACTCATCTGTCTCCGCCAGGTCTGGCATTCCCGAAAAACATTCAATGCCGCTGTAACACCCACCTGATTGTGATCGCAGCAGTCAGTCAACGTCGCGTGTTCAACTGACTGCCAACGTTTGCGTTCCTCCAAACTCTCCCGAGCCTTACCTGCGCCCAAGCTCAACCCCGCGAGAAATTTCAGGTCTTTCAACGGAGGCCACAACATTCGGAACCATCTTTCCGCGGCGTAGGGAGGGATGTCCACAAGCTCAACCCCAACCCTGACGAGAGAGCATAAAATCCCAAACGCGACAAAAAACAGTCTCCGGAACTCTCCCTTCTCCCTTGGCATCGACAAACAATTCAAGGCTACTTTGCAGTCATGAGGGTGGAAGAGATGGACGGTTCGTGGGAGCTTCATGCCCCGTGTGTGTCGCGTGCGCCACACACAAGAGAGAGAGCGAGAGAGAAAAAAACGGCCGCGATCGATGGCCGCCGTCCATTCGCCTCCCGTCAAAAGAGTAGCCTCTTCTGAACGGAGAACCCCCGTTCTGGCCACGTGTTGCACAAACCAGGAACGGTTCCCGAACCGGTCCGTGCGATGCCATCCGCCCCCGCAGCAGAAGTAGCCCCGGCGGTTTCAACCATCTGCTCTTTTGGGGGGAGAGCATCCTCTCGCCTCCAGAGCTATCGGAGAGTCCTCATCTTTTTCTCAGCAGACGGCGAGGTTGGCTAGTGCTCCTCCAGACAGAGCACACGAGATTTTCCAGACGCCTCCCGAAGGGTAGTGTTTGTCTCAGCCATTCCGTTTCCCTGGCTTGCTCTCCATCCTTCATCGTTGCTCAGGCGCAAAAAACACACACGCAGATGGCAGATGGCGGGGGGGAGACAGGGAGCAGCGGGAGGGGGGGGGGGGTCCATACTGCACGGCATACACCGTACGTACAGCGCAGCACGACCGACACATACACACACACACACCTGAAGCAAGGCTTGTCTGGAAACACTATCGACAGAGGCCTCTCGAGACCAGCTGGCTGTGGAAGCAACAAAAGACACCTAGGTACTGCAGTCAAGGAGCCGTGATTAATCAATCACAAGCAGCGCAGAAAATATTCCGATGTTCGTGGCAAACACCCCTCCCCGTCATACCGACGTTCTTGAATTATCGGCTACGCATCCGGTCGGCCAACAACAAATCGCGCTTCACGCGCCGACCTTCGGGTTGAAATACCGGAAAACACAACCACACCACGCCCCCCTGGAACACCAACACAACTCCGTCGAGCACCGAACGGGCGGGACACGCCCGGGTGGGTCGATCCGACCGGACTATTAGGTGCCAACACCGACCAATCAAAACAGCCACGGACCTTTGGCAGCCGCTGCCTCTCGCTCTTTCCTCTGCTGGTCCTGCCTCTGCCGGGCCTCGGCGCGCTCTGCCTGCAGCCGCTGCTGCCGGGCGTACTCCGCGGCAAGGGCGCTCTCCCCCCAAGACTTGAGGAAGAGGTAGTAGGGGTGTACAGGGTCTTCGTCCGACAGAAAGGAAAAGGCCTCGTTGGCCTGCTGCTTGAGCCGAAGGAGTACTTCCAGCTGGTGAGCGTCCGAATCGCGGGACAAGAAGGTTGAGGAGTTCAGGGTATATGATGGTGTTATGCAAAACAATAAAGAAGACTCTGCCGTTGGAGAAAATAGTACTCCGTCTAAAGGGGATGGGAGGTCTAAGTCATTCCAGTAGTCAGTGAGGTTTGAGGAAATCACCTGCTGGACACATATCGGCCATGGTTGAGCCTGTTGAAAGAAAGTCTACATTATGGACTGAGAAATCGGTGATAGCAGCCGGAACCAAAAAAAATTATTTTGCCATGCATGATGACTTGGGAACGGGCATGGGTTTCCAGCACAGCATTTAAATATCACGCCAAGCTAAGAGGTCAACCAACACGACAACGACAACAAGAACACCACCAGTGGGCAAGCGGACCGAAGCAATATCAACCAAACGTCGGGACTTTAGTCATTGATAATAACCTTGACTCTTTTGGTGAGGATAAACACGACTGTGAACTTGTCTTGTCCTGGTTTGGCAACAAAACCATTACCGCCGTGACGCAACCACAGCAATGACGCCGGACACCCAGCCATGCACTCAAACAAAAGAAAAACACGCCCCACAAGAAGCAGTCTCTCTCCGCGCACAGCAGAATAACGCCGTGCTATCTGCATACTGCACCTGAGGAGAACGAACGGCCGTCCTCGCAGTCCCGACCATCATCATGTGCTGCCGAAACGTTGCCGGCGCCACCAGCTCCTCCGGGATGCCAAAGTCCGCGACAAACTCCTCAAACTGGTCCCCCCCCGCACCCTTCGTGGGCTCGCTCCCTCCACCCCCGGTACCATCACCCACTGCTACTGCTGCTGGCGCTGGCGGCGGGTCAGCGTCCGCGGAAGGCGGAGGGGGTTGGGCCGTTGCCCAGGCACCTCGCCCGGCGTTCGCCGATGTCGGTGGGGGGCTGGCGGTTCTTCCGTAGTAACCGTAAACCTCGGGCTCCTGACAGTATCGACAAATCGGATAGCGAGGCCAAGGTGAGGCCGGTCAAGAACACAACGGACATGGAGCATGTGGAACAACGAAAGTGTGGGGGCGTGTGGGATGGGCTTAGGGGGTGGTGTGGTGATTGGTGAGACATGTCTGTCAGATGATAGGGTGGCGTCCCGGTATTCGCTTCGTGTGTGCGGTCGTCTGGGCACCGTTTGCTTCACAACAAGCAAAAGAGCGCGACCAGGAACAACAAAACAACACTTGCACTACAGCGCGAAGAACTGCCTAGAGCAGCCACAACAACAGCAACAGGCTGTGCTGTAGCAGTAGGCATACGTGCACATCTGAAAGCTCTACGCTTAAAGCGGAAGTTGCGTTGCGGGGTGTGTCACCTCCTCCTCTTCCTCGTCCCCGAGGCCCCCACGACTACCGCCGTGTGCATAACTCCCCGTGGGAGCAAACTGCCCAAGCCCCTCCACCACCAAAGAATGATCCCCGCTGGGAAGGCCCTCGTACCGCAGCCCATCCGCCTTACGCTCCTGCAATGTTGGGGAGGTTGCACACAAAACGCCGAAAACAAGAGGGCGCGTCAAGGGAGATAAGGGCCAATCCGGCGGGGGGGGGGGGTCTATTGTATACCAAACTTAGCGTGGCACAATGAAACCCAACAACCGTGTGAGGCTATTTAGAGTTTGTACGAAACCATCCTGTAGTCACACTTAAACTAGGGTAGAGAAAGCTGACAACACAGCTGCCCGTGCTTCGCAAACACCGTACCGTACCACAAAATAACCGTTCGTATCAGGCAAACACCGTACCGTAGACCGCGGTATTTACCCGTATCACAACGCCAATAATCAATAGTAGAGACTCGGGGCGGAGACCAGGCTCAGGTGGAGGAAGGGAAGACTCGGACTGTCCCGCAATCATCGCCATCACAGCAGTCGCAAGCAACGTGGGGTGTTGATATCGCCAAAACACGATCCGAGTCCCGGTCAACAGAAAGGCGGCGAAGCCGCCGGGCTGCCTCCTCTCACGCTACAAGGCTGCACACGCGCCCCATACCTCAAGGCGTACGTAGACGGATGGATACATTTACATTACACCAATTTGATCACGAAAAAAAAATAGAGACAAAAAAGGCACGCATATGCATACGGCAAAAAAAGACAAAAAAATCACACGGTTGGCGCACCTCGGCCTCCAGCTTTACGGGAAGGGCGGACCCTGTACCCTTGCTGAAGTCAGACAGGTCCAGCATCCACCGTGCGTCGAAACGGTCGAGCATCAGAGGTTCCCCCTCGGGATCCTGCGTAAGGACAACGAACATGTACACAATTCCGGGAATAAGGTCGGAATACTATCATCATTGCGTAAACCTACCGCCTCGGCAGAGCAACAAGGTAAACATTTAGAATGTACATGTGTGCACAGGGGGTGTGTGGCTCTCGTGTTGAGCACAGAGTCGAGCGTGCACACCTAACATGTGTCGTCATGCGTAGTACGGCTGCCTCTTGGGGAACCGCTTGCCAAAACCGGACAGCTACATGGGCAGGTGCACGGAGAGATGGTCACCATCTTGGTGACGCCGGTGTTAGCGTTAGACATCGTATCGCAATTTTTGGTAATCCCCCGGCGCTAGGAAAATACTTCTAGAACATAAGCAAATAATACTCTTTGGTCACCACAGAGAGCACAAACCTCCACGTCCTCTGGTGGAAGCACGGTTCAATCGTTCGCGTGAATCTAACGCCCGAAATAGACCCTAGGGAAGATAATTTAGATCTCTCGACCTTCAAGACCCAAGAGATGCAGGCGTCAATGGGATTCATGCAAGAGCATCTCAAGATGCTGATAAGAAGCACCGCGCCTCACGCGCCGGGTAAAGGCCCCAGCCGGGCAACATGTAGAATACGAGGTAAGGATTGGTAGAAGAAGATCTCAACATGCTGATAACAAGAAGCACCGCATCTCACGCTCTTTCTATCTCTACATACTACAAGGGCCCCAGTCGGCATACGAGTCTTCACACAGCAAACTCAGCAGAAAGGAAATTACGAAATTACCCAGGTGGCAACATTCTGATGAAGAACATGCAGGGATCGGAATGGTTCCGTTGACACCAATAGAGAGAGCACCACGGGTCACCTAGAGATAATCGCTACGGTAACCGCCAAGTCGGGCGTGGTGGCGTTGATTTATCAAGACCGTTGATTGGTCAAGGCCGTTGATTGGTCAAGACCGCGCACCTGTGGGACCGTGAGAGGTCGCAGGTGAGCCCCATCTTGGACAGCGGTGGCCGCGGGGTCATCGCGGAAGACTTGGCACGCGTAGGACTGGACGTACAGCTGCTGCAGCTCGGGATCGCTGTCCTCGTCAGAGTCTCTGTCCGCACCCGCTGCCGCGCCGCCCGGCGCCGCCTTCTGTGATGACGGGGGCGGCGATACACCGCCACCGCCGCCGTGCTTGGGTTGGAGAGAAAAGACAAAAGACAAAAGGCACAAGGCACGTCATTTTTGAAACAATGTACAACATACATACTTACCCGTGGGACAATCAGGTACATCATGTATTACTATTATATTGTCAGTACGTACGACCCAACGAATCCATCTCTGTATCATATAGAAAAGAGTCTATGTAAGACAGACCATTCTTGAAAATACTGCCATATAATTTAATACTTCGTAGTTTTTTTTACGGGTAGTCTAAGGATACAAGACAAGAAGAGCGGGAGCCTACTTGAACAACACATCTCAGCACAACATTTTGTTGTGGAAGTATGTACAGACAGCAGTGTCATCACAGTGTACATTACAAGTGTACCTTCCAAGCAGCCTCCAGAGGTAGTGCGTGAGGGGCAATCGAACCCGGACCATGGTTCAGAACTACACACACTAACATAGTTTTCTGCAACAAGCAACAAGCAACAAGCAACATCACCCGCGACCAACGACTAAAGGGCTCGCCGTGTATGTGCCTCCCGCTCCTCTTCTCTGCTTTGAAAGGAAACACTACACTGTACAATGCAATCACTTCGAGAATAAACTCAGCCTCACGTGGGCTGGCTTTCCTTCACCAGATGAGAATGCACAGAAAGACACCTTGTTTTGTCTCATCCATGAACTCACCCCGTGATAACTTTCGGTGGAGCGAGACTTCCCACTCCCTTCCTTCCGCACTCCCATGTTCACTAGTGTGGACAGAGAGGGAGACGGTGGTATGTTGTGTTGGTACGGCGCGCTCTGACAGAGGTAGTGTGTATGCTGGTGCTGTGAGTCTGTGAGTCTTCTTCTTTCACGGGGGGAGACGCGAACTGTATTCCCGATTAAAGGCCTCCCCATCAGTAGCCAGCCCGCGCTCTCCCCGCAGACACTCCCGCACCCGCACCTCTTCGACAGGGAGCCAGCATCGCACCCACGTTGAACCCCTCATCACACGCGTCTACGTTACCAAGGGCCCTCCATAGCTATATCGTGGTGAGTGTTCGGAACCCGGCTTCCTGACTCACGCGCACCGCTGCTGCGCTCCCGATCCGAGCGGATTGCTGACCTGGATTGTGATCCTTGTTTTCCCGAAAAACTTGCTGGATTGAAAAATCGGGAAAAACGTACCAGCTTTATTACTTTGTTGTGTAGGTCCTCCTGCTGGTTTTTTGCCCTTGGTTGTTCGTCAAGACAATCATCCAAGACTCCCACGCTGTCGGCGAAGGCAGGGGATCGCGGGGTGCCCTCCAGCGGTGCGCGCTCGAGCGCCGTGCGCGTGATGCCACACGCATCGCCAATGCCACGTCCGACCTCGTTGCAAGAAAACTAATGCTGTGCTGTAACACGTAGCCTTTGTAGACGTGGCTTGTGCTCTCTCTGCTGCTCTGGCATCACACCCTGTGCCCTGCTAGCTAACCGCGTGCTGTGACCTCCTGTGCCACTGCGCCAACAACATTCGACCACCAAACAGAATGTACCGCACGGGTTATATCTCTCGGAGTGCGTCTCTCGCCACGCACGTCGCAGCGCACGCGACTTGGTGTTGAGAAATCCAACCCACATGCACCAAACGAAAAAATAAGATCGTACACCAGTAGATGAGACGTGTACCCGTCGTACGTGGTCGTTTGCAATGCCATTCATTCATTCGGTCCTTGAACTTGCAGGTTTGGTTTGGTTGAGCTTGCTGCCGTTGTGGTCTTCTTTTCCCATGGCCATGCCCGGTGGCGGCTACGGCGGGTATGGCGGGGGCGATGGCTACAATCACGTGAGTTTTGACGGGCCCCTCTGTGTCATTATGTGCCTGTTTTCTTTTATTGGCAAGGAGTGGGGATTAACCCTTCACGTTGATTACAGACATGGGCCCGCGCCATCTCCGTCGGGCGGTTATGTTCCGGCGGGATTTCCCGTCTGGATATTTTTTTTGGAACACAGAATACGAATGTCACAACACTACAGCAGGACAAGCGGTAGAGTCGCAGCTGCTCCTTCGCCGACACCCTTGCCGAAACAGAATCTCAATTACATGGCTATTACAACGTGCCCTCGATTGTTGCTATCATCGCCAAAAATTGCGTCTCGGAACAACGCTTGAATTGATTCTGGGCATGTGCTTTCAGCAGCAGCAGCAAAGCAGTAGATGCGTTATACAACCCAGCCGAGTAGCCTTGAAAATGCCAGGAAACGAATGCATAATGGTTGATATTGCGTTACCATGGTTGATGCCTTCTCCTGTACTACGTACTTGCCGTCCAAGCAGCAGCGGTATGTATCTGCTGTGGATCTGTGGATACAGCAGAGCTGATGTACGGACCATACCACGGTTGAAGGCGGAATAACAAACAAGGGCACCCGTTAATTGAATGGTTGCAGCATATGAGAGGTCGGGATACGACGCGGCACGGGCCAGGTGTAGACTATGAATACTCTACATTATTTGTACCACATTACACATTGCATATTTACCCTACTTACAGCTGTAGTCAGCTTTAGGGCTAGTCTATGAATAGATGCTTGCTCCTCTTCAGAAAGTCTATATATTAATGGTGCAGCTTCCTGTCCTAAAGACCTCGGGGCCACCCGTCCAACATATGAAAGGTCTGTGTTATTTCTTTTGCATAACCTCGGCGATGGCAGTCAGTGCACGAAGTATACGATATATATCATACCACAGGAGTCTACACAGCCATTCGGGGGAATCAGCTTGGGTAATTTTGTAGCCATGGCAAGGAGAAAGAGAAACCTCCTCCAGAAAAAACTAAAATAGAAATGGTGTCGGGGGCTGTCGGCTGGCCGCCACGATGGATGCCCTCGCATATTCTACATACGAGAACACATTCACCAACGTCTGTATTGAAGACATTGAAGACATTGGGTGGTAGATGCGACGGGAAACACGGTGCCACACGGACTGACAGAGGTCTTGCCATGTGATTTTTTGGGTTGCTACTATTCACGCTTTGAGGACGGCGGAACAAAATGACCCGTGAGAGCTAAACATGCATTTGTCGCTCCAGGAATCATCATGCAACACTTGCTGATGTGATAGTCCGGATGGATTGGGTTACATGTACGGAGAAGTGGACAGACTGGGGAGGTGCCGGCATCATCCGTTACACTGTGGCTTACACAACACCTACTAATCACCAAGCTGTCGCAGAAAATGATAGTCCGTCGCCTTATGGGTATGAGCTCAATTGGTCCGTGGAGAGGAACCATTTTTTTTTTTTTTCCTTCCCCGGTGTTTTTGTCGTTCGTTGCGTTGGCCACGGCTTGCCGCCATCATCATTGCCAGCCACGCTATCTACAATCGACAGCAGCAGTCACCGCGGGCGGGCCCAGGAATCGGAACGCACACGGTCCCCTACTCACTCAGTTGCAGCACTGCTGCTGTTACAGCGGTATCTATGTATCTAGAGAGAGCTGCGAGACCATCGCTCCGGGACGGAATCCCGCTACAGTATTTACCTATTTAGCCCTTCCCAAGAGACGTGCCGCGCAGCAATCGGAGTATATCGAGCTTGTCGAGTTTGGTGCGGGCCAACTACAACGGAGACACTTTTCAGCCCCAGTAAGCCAGACGAACGAATGGACTGGGTCGAACAATTTTATAGTTTTCGGCGCTATCGCAAAGGATACGTACTCCCTTCTCCACGGAAAGAACCGAAATGTCTCAATTCGGGAGCGGGCGGGCATAACCTCAGCCGACCCACGCTGATGCGTGCGGCCGCGCTGTATGCACACGTGTTGTGGCGTAGAGAGCGGTGGACGAAGCCATTGTCTTTGGGGCCGTCAAGAGCCGGTGCTGCTAGAGCTTTCGCCGCCGTGCGTGTTGTTGGCGATCGACGTGCTGTGGTCGCGTCGATGGCCAGGCATGGCCAAGATTGTTTGCGAGATGAGGACGCCGAGACGGTACAATACCGGCCTCTGAGTCGACAAACTTTGGACAGAGGAAGGACCCAATCTCAGCGCCCCACTGCTTGCGTTTTTTTTTCACCTGTCTCTGCACTTGTGCTGCGAACAGGCTGGTAGCAATGGCGTACACAGCAGCAACAACGGGGGTCACCACACCTACGGTGGCAAGGGGGGCGTGGGCATGATGGACGGAAGACATCAGGAGGAGGAGGAGGAAGAGGAGGACCTGAGCGGCTTGGAGGCGCTCGTGCTTCAGCTAGAGAACGAAAAACACATGGATCAACACCTCGCACACGATACACAGGCCAAGCTTGAGGTGCGATGTGCACGTCTGTCTATCCTAAAGTACTGGGGATGGACCGTGTCGTTGTCATTCTTGTTTGTTCTTTTTTTTATTGTTCTACCGCTCGACGTGTTCCTCCAGGTATTCCTATACAACTTGATTTTGTTATCTGACCGACAGCAGTTGCATGGCATGCTCGGGGCCCGTTGTGCCTTGCCATGCCCATTATGTTAAGGATCTCTTTTTCGACTGTTGTACAGTTGTACTTGGACGTGTTCAACCGTTTCAAGATTCACTATATCAACCGATCGTTTAACCGACTGCAGCAGTAGTCTATGTCGACAGTCGTTAACCATGTGCATACGGTGCGGTCCTACAGTGTACTGCTCGCCCTCGCCCCCCCCTGCTATAGCAGTACTGTAGCAGTACAACAGTGATCCCCGCCACGCGTTCCGTTTTTCGAGAAAGGCTCACGACGATACCACTCATATTGTCGCTACCTGCTTGATGTTTTAGCACAAAAATGCTCTCGGAACCCACTCAATTTTTTCATCCACTAAACGTACAGCAGTGTAGGCCGATTATATTTGGTGCCGCCGCCTGTACTCCTACCAGCATGTCGCAAGATTGGGTCCCGCACTAGTTTCGTTTTGTGTTGTTTGCGATTGTTCACGCCTCCCTCCGAAACACGGGACCCAGTCGATCAATGGTCTGTGGGCATGATGAGTGTGGTACGTCCTAACTTTTGATTGGTCCTGGCGTTGTGCCTTAGGAGACAATGTATTGTCTCTGTGTGTAGCTTTTGGAAACACGAGCCCCTTTCACAGGAAGGGTGTGGTTGTCTGTTCGCCATCTATCGTATACTCTATTCTAGTCACAGCGAAAAAACGGCCCAGTCTATCGAGCAAAAAAGCGAAATGGAATGGTCCGGGGGGCCCGGGATTCGCGGACACACTTGGACCCCCAAGTGTCGGTTGGTAGGTAGTCAATCCGCTTGAGAGCTGTAACTCGTGAAACCAAACCCGGGCGGTGAAAAACACCTACACCTTGGTTTCATCTAATATATATATGTGTGGTTGCTCCGTATGCCCCCCCCCCCCCCGATGCTCCGTCTCCAAGATGCGGGCAGTAGCGCACCTTGAGGTGGAGCGAGGCGTTCGAAGAATGCAACAGGCCCACGAGGAGAAAATAAAAGCCTTTCTACTCAAGGCGCAGGATATCAACGAGGACTGCCGCATCCGCGACAACAAGATCAAGGAGCTTCAGCAGATTGTGAGTTACCAGTCGTGAGAGGAAGCGCGTGTGTTCCCATCAGACGCCGCACATCCCTTGTGTGTGAGAGGAGCTTCTTGTTGTTGGCATCGGCCGAGCTGAGCCGTGTGTGTCTGTGTGAGAGTTCCTTTCAATAGGCATCGGTCTCGCTAAGCAGCTAAACAGCTCCTGTTACAGGCGTGTGCTTGTCATCCTACAAATTTTATTTTCCATATGCATCAGCTGGGGTCAGTCACGGATGTAGTCACTCAGTACGACGGCCAGGCCACACGGCAGAGATTTCCATTGTTACTTTTTTTTTGCCGACCTTACCGCTGCACGGCTTGCCTGTTCTTGTCGCGAGGCCAACCTCCAACCTCCATTGGAAACCCCCAGCGGTTGCGGTGTCATGTAACCTCAAGAATCGCCGTGTTTTTTTATTTATTTTTCTCCCGTCAACAGAGCCACGATATGGACGAGGAGATGGCGCAAGCCCTGACAAAGCGGAAGGAGACAGTCGAACAGGTCAAGAGGGAGGAGAGAGAGGCTTTCCGGAACCAGGAACGGTCTGAGGAACGGTCCAAGAGGCATGCCTCATCGAGCGGCCATTACGGCAGCGCCAGCGGCGACTACAGCAGCGGCGGCGGCGGCGGAGGCCATAGCAACGGGGGAATGGGGATGGGAATGGGAATGGTTTCAAGGGTAGGGGACATGGGTCGCCGCACTCAGTCTTCTTCGGGGGCTTCCTTTTCGCCGCGGGGGGCGTATGCGGGCAACCGGGTGGCGGGCGGGCGGGGGGGGGAGGGTACAGGAATTGCGGCGGCGGGGAGAGATAGGGAGAGTGCGGGGGGGGCGGCGGCTCGGTCCAACGCTCAACCGAAGCCCTTCGAACAGATCCGGCAGGCTTGCGTCGAAGACACTCTAACGGACTTTTTCGGCTTATGACGGGGGACGTGTTTGGCTTCTCTCTTTTTGGGCAGGAGGTTTTCGTGTTTTGGGGCAAGTGACGAGAGCCTCCCTGGGGCTTGCAACGCGTACCTCACTTGTCTGTGTGCTTTTTAGTGGTCCCGTGAGTCTTTGCTTTCGAAAGCAGCGGTCTGCGGTCTTGAAGGCGTACAGAAATGGGGTCCAGGCAGATGGCTCAACTCCATCGGGGGGTGCGGCAGCTCTGCTGGGGCCACGGGTCTATTTCGCCGGAGAAATGGCGGCCCTGCAAGTGTAGAGTCTACACGGCGGTGTTTTCGTGCGTTTGGACGATCCATGTGTCATTGAATTTGTTACGTGTGGCAACAACATTTTTAACAAGAGATGACCAAGGGGTGGCTCGGTCATGGGCACGTTTGATGAATGCGGAAGTTCGTTGTGAGAAAATAATTCGACAGCTCTCCTCAACGGTCTTGCCGGGGTCTTTCGACACTCTAGTTTTCTGCAAGAAATGTCACAAGACATAGATGTCGTATCGGGCTTCGCGGTGTCGATTAAGTCTTAAAACATTACGCTACGCTACGCGACACGGAGGGATAGATATCATATCACCTCTTGATTTGCTGTGGGCAAGGGCCGAGAGTGCTGATCGTATGGACACCCCTTTGACTCTTGTTGAGAATGCCATGGTTGTCTTCGGGCCTTTTGTCTAGCCTTATTTTCTGTAGTTTTCAGTTTTTTTTTCGTTGTTGTCGTCGGTGATGAGCGTAAACGTTGTCGGCCGGTGGACTGCTTTGTTTATACTTGGTCAAGTAGTTCCCCTGGTGCGAAAAAAATATGGCAACCATAGAAATGTGTCGATGATGCTCTTTGGTGCAGCGTTATACCATCATGTGTTCGGTCCCTGTAGGTTGTGTGCGGCTTGGATGAAGGTACCTGGCCGCACTGTCGTTCTCATTCTGTAGTAGTGTAGCTCATCTATTTGTGATGTGCATCGTCTTTTTGTAAGGCTACATGTAGCGGTGATGTGTGGAAGGGGTGTGTATAGAGAGATCTTGTTTGTCTGAAGTGACGTGGTTTCTCTGGTTTTTGTTGATTGTATTTTCCGTGGATGGCTTGGATTTACCGTAATTTTTAATATTTACTTGGATGCACGTGGGCGGTTTGTGTTTCATCTTGGGCAGGGGGGCACCGCCTATTTGCACACGTGTGCGCTATGATAGCCTGGAAAGCACCTTGTTTTAAACAACGAAGTTTTTAGCCCTTTGCATATCCACAGATACACCAGAGAGTCAAGATGTTTTTGACAATCGGACCACCAGCGGTTGCTATTCCTGACCGACCATGGGTCCTGGAATTGCATGCGGTTTTTTGTAGTAGGTGTAGACGGATGGAAGGCGTTTCGTTGTGGTTGAAAACGCTTCCTCCGGTTTATGCCCGTGTTTGGGAATGAACTTTAGAGCCCCTCGAACCGGCGGCCCTGGGGCTTGTTTGCGATGCAGTTGGTTGACGAAACAGAGCAGAGCAGCGCCGATTGATTGTCTTTTTGTCTTTTTTTGTTCTTTTTGGTCGAGTGAGCTCTTGTCGTCGTGCTTGTCTGCGCCAACGCGTTTGTGTCGTCTTTTTGTCCCCATCAAGCAGTTAGATACCAGCAGTTTCGTGTAGCTATGTCCTTGCCATAACGATGGCAATGACTGCTGCTCCGAGCTTAATGTGCTGGATGGAGTGAGTGGTATGTACCGCAGTCCAACCAACGCGTGACATACATACCATTTAGGAGCTGTCTAACCGCCAATAGCTCAACCTCGGCGATTGAGCATTCGTACATCATCATATGTATGTGTATAGCTCAGGCAGCTTCTTCATCTCATCTGGACAAACATCTCGGGACAACAGAACCGCGGATTGGATCAGGATAACCTGCGCCCGACAGCTCAATCTTTTTACAATCGATGCAGGTGTACCTTATACACTGACTGGATAATGACCAAGCCCCTCACCAAAATCCCTACCCCACACTTACTTACACGAGTCAACGCACACCAAGTTTAGGACAACGCGCCTACACTACATATTTCTGCTTGGTTCTCTGTTCGAACGTTTGCCTGCGAGATTCAGGACGCCGACCTGTGCTATCACAGTTCAGTTCGTTCAGTGGGACGGAGTTGTGGGAGCCCAGGTCGGAGAGGTGTAAGTACCATCTCCGATTCTTCCAAAGGTCGATGGAGAAAAACAGAATCCGTCGTCTCTCTTTGTTTGCTACCAGAACAAAGCGAACAATCCACCTCGTAAGAAACTGGTACTACAGTACATTCATAGCATACGTTCGCCTGATGTCACCTTGTGGTTCTTGTCGATATTGTGGCTACGAAAGGAGCATCACAGCAGTAGTGCCACTGCGTCGACGTATTGATGTGTCCTCATTTGACGGGGATAGGAAGTGTGGAGATCAATATGCATGCATACGCCAACGAACGTATCGGATATTATTAATTATTGAATAAATGCTTGGCTAGGGTCATGTTGGCCTGTGCAGGTTTCTGCGCGGCCTCGTGGGTTGGCTATTCATGTGCTGCCCAGCGAGGTCGTGCCCGTCGTTTTCAGCTACTCGGTGCCGACCAATCACCGGGTTCCTGTGGTCTGGCAGCAGCCCGTTATTTTAGAGAGTTATTATCCTCCAGGAGGACTTGGCATCCACCGGGGATAGATTGCAGTCTGTCTACTGTACCATCCTACCATCTTGCCACCATCCAAATTTTTCCACGCTTTAGCGTCCCGTCGTATGTGTTGCGGTTAGCTGCCATACCTACTGCGAGGATGATTGATTTCTTCGCGCAAGTCGGCTATATCGAAGCGTTCGTGGTGCCCCTCTTGGCCCGCTGACCATGGTGGCCTCACTGCCGGTGAACCGTTTGTCCATTATATAATGGGTAATGTAAAATATTCGTTTTTGATTTCATAGACTTACTTGCATGTCCGATTTCGTGGGGGCGATGTCGCGATTATCACAGGGCGCGCCGGTCCATGGTGCCATATCACAGGGCGCACGATTGCACGAGGCCGAACAGGCCGCGTTCAACGTTGGTTGTCCACCGTGGGCAGCATGTCCGTCTTGGGGTCAGTGGCGCTCTTTTTCCCGGGAATTTTTTTGCGATGTACGGCGGTATAGGCGTCGCCCTTCACCCTTAATCGGACGAACGCGCCGTTGCTTGTGTAGCTACAGCACCATATAGCGACTAGCGACCACCAAGGTCAGCCAAGAAACAAAGCAAGAAGAGCCAGATAAATAGAGGCAGCCGTCTTGAACCAGCGGGAAAGAGTGTTCACGAGATGGATGGTGAGGTACTTCGCGAGCGTTCGTCGTCTGCTCGCCACGTGGCAGCAGCGCAGAAACTTCTCTGTAGTTGTCATCTGGTGTTGGTGTTCTGAACCCTCTGACGAATGAATAGCCGTTCGTTACGTTGAGCAGACTACTGCATACCACCAGATCACCAGGCTTACTTGTTTGTGTGTTTGAAACGAAGTAGCATAGGTGTGGTCGAACGCCGGTGATTGATGGGCACCAAGTCGCACGGCATCACGTCGTTCCAGCCTTAGTTTTTTTCCGCGACGATGGTTGTTTGAGATCGATCGCACCCCTTGCTCTTCAACGACGTGATCACCCACCCACTTCACCTCCTTGTCCGTCGCCGCCAGGGGTGGAGGCCGTGTACTGTATTGTAGTCTAGTACTGTAGGTGACACACTCTAACAGACGATATTTCGTGCGGGGTGCGTAGTAAGCGAACATTTGCCGTAGGAGATATGGGATGTAACACCCGCTGGACCGATTTTCGAAGCTCGAGTACTCCACGACGAGAAGAGGATGAATAAATCAAGTGATACCTCTCTCGACGAGACGGTTCCAACGCAACGTTTTTCGGCACCACCACTCTTTTCTTTTGTATTATATATAATAGAGCAATCGAGCTTTGCAATTGTGTCCGGGGTATGTGATATACAGTGGGGGTCCCTCTATAGTGCGGGTATGTGACACGCGAAAAAACCCGCACTATAGAGGGCACCCGCATTATATGCTTTCGGGCCTGAATAGTGCGGGAAGGCGCACTATTCAGGGTTTCAGAACCCTCAATAGTGCGGGTAGGCGCACTATCCACGAAATCACAAGGTTTTAGCATAGGACGTAGCCAAAAGCGAGGGATACTGTATGCAGGTGGCACGGTAGTGCATGTAACAAGTGAGGTGGGGAAAAATTGCAGTATCTCTATGGATAGAAGCCTGCATCCTTTCGCAGGTGAGTAGAGAACAGCAAAAGTTGCACATACATCGGGATGGACTGCACAGCAGCGGCAAACAATATACAACCACATCCTGTACTATACAGAGATGTTACGCAATGTACGCTCTGTACCAAAAAGGAAGGCTGCGCACAGCCCATGTTGTTGTTCCTTGTTCCATTCTGCATTGATTGATAGTTCCGCTTGCACATTAAAAAAACAAGGTTAGGCCTACAAAATGAAACCTGAACTTGCCAAATACGAAACACGTCCGTTCACAAACGAAACGAACACCTTTTCAACACGACCCAGACACACCCACGGAGAAAAAAAGAGAGGGGGGACACTCCAAGAAAAATATAATAGAAACAAGGACCCAAAAAAATCCTACATTGTGCTTCCCGCACGTTCTACCTCAAGTTTTCCAAGAAAAACCCACACAACACAACGCCATCTACGTTTGGGGGGGGCGGTTTTGAAGAAAAAACGGCAAAGTGAAACTCGCAGACAGTTGACTCATTCAAACACCCGGCAGATCCACTACCAGCAAATTACAGCAGGAGCTGCGTGGGGCAAAACGGCTGATTGATCTACGCGTCAAAAAACTCCCTAACATCGGCCTGGCGCGACGGCTTCGATGCATGCGCTTCGATCATCAACATCCGTGCCCTCTTGAGCAAGTAGCTGGCCTCGTTCAAGCTGCACCCTGCCGCGTAGCTTTCCAGGGGGGCGAAGTGTTTGAAAAGTTTGGAGGAGAAGCACGCCGGACAGAGGCGGTTCATTTCATTCTCGCCGTCCTCCTCCACCTCGCCGCATATACCATGCAGTCTGCCGCCACATCCTCCTCGACATTGGTGGCCGTCGGGGGCTTTGGGTGTGAGGTTGCTAAGTTGGCAGAGTTCGCCTGCTGCACACGGCATCCTGTGCCTCTGCTGCTGTTCCTGTGGCCAGTAGGGGTATGCTGTTGCTGCTATGCGTAGCCGGTAGGGGTATGTGTGTGTGTGTGTGTTTATTATTAGCATCGACCGCGCTAACCGGCTGACCAATGAAAAGACGTCAGTGCCAACGGGTAAAAATCAAGGTCCCTGGAATGGGGCCCAAATTCGAAAAATGCGCAATGCGCTAAATGCGAACGCCAATACGACTGTGTGTGTGTGTCGGGAAAATGTGTGGGTTGGCTATCTAGGTTTGACCGCATCTAGGCGGGTGGTGACGTGGCGTGACGTCAAATCCGCACTATATAGGGTCTTGAGAGGGGTCAAAGCCGCACTATAGAGGGGTGCCCCGAATAGTGCGGCACCCGCACTATAGACGACCCAATTTGTGCCAAGCGATTTCACCCGCACTATAGCGGGCATCCGCACTATATAACCCGCACTATAGAGGGGCCCCCACTGTATTGTGTACATACCAGTATGGTGCAAACAAAATTGTGTCATGTGTTTTAGCTACTACTATGTATGGGCGGCCTAAATGACAGGCTCTTCGTAGGCGTGGCGTACCGTAGCTCTCTGCAAGGCAAGGGTACGAGGCGTATGCATACCGAAAAATAGGCGTTTTCCTTGCTCGACGTGGCTGTTGTTAAGTGTTGCTCACGCGCGGTTCGTGGCCGAATTGTTGGCTGCGGCTGGCTTCCTCCGACGATTGCGGTCATAACATGGTTTCGGTTTCTGCAGGCGTTGCTGATAATCAACGTGGTATTCTTTTGCCATCTTGCGCGAGGCTCTACCGGTGTCAGTCCTGGTTTCGCATGTATGTCCCGCACGTGCACGAATACATGTATGCGCTATCGGTAGTGTGGATCCCGCCTCGTCTTGAGAGACCGTGCGTGCAGAGGCTTCCTCCAGAAAGTTAAAGGCGGTGAACCCGAGTGAGTCCGTTCGCCCGACGTGTCCTCGTTGATGTTGTTGCCGGGGTGGCGTGGCGTGGTTTCCCAGATCCGGCATGGTGAACAGACGGGTTTCGATAGTTTTCCGTATTCCGGTGCGGTTTTTCCACGAAAGTCGGTTTCGGTGTTTGGTGGGTGCGGTACGGTAAGCCATGCCGTCGGTGGTAAATCCAACTGGTCTTCTTGTTTCTTTCGATCACGTTCTCCGTCAGGTAGGTTCAAGTTTGGATGTTGTACACGAAGGGTCTCGAAGGTCATTTTTCCTCCGATGCAACCAGCGCAAAAGAACAGTTTGTTTTTCGTTACCCGACGTTAGTTTGGTTTTCCACGCCGCAAAAAATGTCTTGTGTTGCCGCGATCCCCGATGAACCGTTGTCTACGACACGAAAGAACGCACCAAGCGAAATACGGCGTGAACTGCGGCGCGTGAACCGACCGAGCGCCGGTTGGTGTAGGCGCAACCTTTGGCGAAACCGGCATCGATCGAAGTTGCGTGGGTTGAAACAAAAGACACCTTCTCTGTCCTTTCCGGTACGCTTAACCTCTTCTTGTAGTTCAACCTTGCTGTACGTCGTATCGTTGGTTGAGAGTGCTGGATTGTGGCAGCACGTGATTGGTCCTTCGTCTCGGCGACGTAGGAGTCATACTCAAGTGACCGCTTGTTGTCGCTTCGATGCCGTCGTGACGACCGTTACGGTCGCGGAGCCTCCCGGCTATTATTCTACCTTGTTGGGGCAGTCACGAGTCACCGACGGTAATTTTAACATGATGAGGTCCGTTGAATAATCGGTCGCTACGGTCGAGATGGAGTACTCTGTGTCGTCCTTCTTCGCACCCGGTTGAAGTTGAAGGCACCAGAGGGTCACCACCGACCGTTTGTCGATTGGTTATCGTCCTTGTAGTCGGTGTTTGTGTGGAGCCTCGCACACAACGATGTATGCATGCCCTCGAAGCGACGATCGGACAGGATGGGCTCTCATGTGTTGGCTATCTCGAGTGCGCTTGTTCAAAAAATCATGTTCTCTGTAGTGGACACGTTGGAGTTGGAGTTGTCCGGGCGCGCAGTGTTGGCGTTTCCAGCGCTTCGTTGGTGGGGAGGATTCAACCATTTTTTTTTGTGTTTGAAGTGTTGTTGATCAGCGCGTACGCTGTAGCCTTATTGTTTTCCCGTGGCAACCGGTTCCTGGATCATCAGCCTCAGACACTCGGGATGGCGGGCCCAACGGGTTCAAAACACAGCATACGACTCCACGGCGACCGCTGTTCCCAGGGCAGAGCCGCCGTGTTGGTAAACCGACAACTACGTGTAGACGGAGGACTCCCGATAGAGAATATATATCGGTATTAGGGGGTGTCTTATCAGGCCGAAAAAATACGTATTTGGTTACCAAGCTGAGCAGGAATCTCGTGGGGGCGGGAGGATCCACAAAGACAACAGCAGCAGGAGAATAATGATCTGTCCCTCCTGATGGAGCTCAACAAAGAAAGGTAGAATTTGGTAGAATAGGAACATCTGTCTTCGTTAACGGCGTAGTCTATTTCTGGATGATGGACTAGTCTACAGCAGCAGTAGGAGAGGTTCCGTGCCAGCAGGATGTACATACATATAAAATGTTGACTCGCTTTGGCCCATGGGTTCTTGTTTGTTTGTCAGTGGTGAGGTTATGTAGACTGCAGCAGCTGTTGTCTCCGTCGGCGTGGTATATGTACTACATTCGACCTGTACCGTACACGGGGCAAGGATTGCCCCCCCTTCACCGAATGGGGTCGGCGGCCGAATGTGACTGATGTATGTATGTGGTGATGGAGATACAGCAGCAGCCCTAAATTGTTGTTATAGGTACTACTACTTTAGGTTAACTGCTCATTGGAGGTGTGTGGGAAGGATTGAGATGCAGTAGACTTGTGTACTGCTGTAAGTACCATGTCCAGTAGTTGGCGACACACTGCTGTAGCCTCTTTCTTGTTCATGTAACTTTGTAACGACGATGGCGGCAGCACCACCCAAAGGTTGAGCACAGGTAGGTATAGATGTACGCAAGCACGGGAGTGTTGCGAGCTCTTGCCCGGATTGAAGACTGTGTCATCACCCGGCCCCGGTTTGTCGGGTGGTCGAAAGTATCTCCAAGTGTCGGTGTCTACAGCAGTAGTATGTACGGCGGAATCACAGGATTCATGAGATACGCCGCATACAGCAGTACAAACCAAAAAAAGACCCCCTCGGTTCCTCATGTGTCCAGGACACAACTGTGAGCATCCAAGAATTTTCTGCTTGTTGTGCTGTACCTCTCTCAGCAGCTCCGTAGATAGCGTACCATGATTGCAGAGATGCGTTAGTACGCACATCAGGTGCGGATCCAGAAGGAAGGCTCCGGTCAAAAGGAAACACACGCATCCCCCCTATTGATTAAGGAATAATAAAAACACACACAGAGAGACTACCCATTCGAGATATACCCACAGTCGAACGGGATGTGGTGGAGTCTTTTCAGTGAGTGGAGGGAAACCGGCTGGGTACTGGACTTATTGATGCTATATCGACGGAGCAACAAAGTGTGTCTACATGAGTGCGTGTCCAGTGTGCAGTACCGGCGCACAGCGAGGGCCGTGCGGGCCCGCGGGCCGCAGGGTCTCGGTTCTCGCGCGCATCTGGGAACACGAAAAATCAAAAACGGAGATCTGCACGAAAAACAAGAACATAAAAATTCGGACTCTGGCGACATGGGCATGCTTACTGCCTGTCCTCCCCTCCCCACGTGTGAGGGGATCTACTTCAGTTGCAAAGTCAACGCACCCCGTTACGGTGATCGGGAGAGTGGGGAGGTCAGGCATGGTCACCTTTTCGTGTCCCTCGAGAGGTATGCATACGTCGGTAACGTGAGGATGGTTATACATGAAAGAATTGTTTTTTTGTCGATCTTTTTTTTGCGGTTGGTTGGTTTGATGACAGAAGATCGGCGGCTCTTCAGGATAGTTCCGTTTTATTAATTTTTTGCTCGACACAGACTCACGCCCACACAACACACTTCCCATTCACACCAGCCGCGCTGTCGACAGCCTAGTGAATACTGCTGAAGCCGCTGGGATATTCAGACGAAACGAAGGGGCCGCCGTCTAGGTTTGTCGGGATCCAAAAAGAGGTGCGTATGTATGCTTACGACATGATGATGACGGTGATGATGGTGCGCTGCTGTTGTCGGCTCCTGTGGCCCTTGTCAAGAGGATTAAGGAATAATAAAAACACACACAGAAAGACTACCCATTCGAGATATACCCACAGCAGTCATTGATTATGTGATATGTCCTATCCGTTGCAAGATGACGCGAGTGAGTATTCCTGGTTTACCTTTAATTCGTCTCAATCAGGCACCCCCAGTCGCGGTGACTTGTTTGAACGTAGCTGTGTCATGAGGCTAGCCAGGCTCGGCGCCGTGCGGCGGGCGAGCAGCACGGTGTACCCTGGATCGAGAAAGTTACTTGCTGGCCGGCGCTACTGGTTCTTTTTGTCTCTTGGTTCAAAGCCACCGGCAAATTATTATAAAACAAGTTGTTCTCGAGTCGTTCATCTTTCTCCGCGTGAATCTTATGTGTAATGTCCCTGCCGACTGCAGCAGTAGTGGGCCAAGGCCTTGACCCCCGTACCGTGGTCGCACCACAATACTCACCGCTTGCTTGTGTAGACCGCCGGCCCTGCTGTCGATGCGACCATGACCGTTTTGCCAACCAAATCATTCAACCAAATCAGATGTGAAGATCTTTGTTTGCCCGCGTGTGTGTCTCATCAAACCAACAACGTAAGGTGTCACGGCGAGCAGCAACATGAGGACTGACGTGATACTGCTGGGGTTGGCCTCGCTGCTTGCTAACGCATTAGCAAGCGAGGGTGGGCTCAGCCAGCACAAGGTAAGGGTGTTGGGCCTTCGTGATGGATGAATGTTACCGTATTTTGAACGCACATCTTACTGCTTGGGTTGGCGACTGGAGACATCCATCGTGCGCCTTTTTGTAACGGTACTTTTCCCCAAAATCCGTGATCTTGGTGCTGTGTTGTGCTGCTGTGTCATCCCACTGCCTAATAGAACTCATCTATGCATTTGGTTGAGCAAGCCGCGTTTTCGCTCACAACGACGCTCCGTACTAGCTGCAACAAGCACAGGGCTGCTTGGGGTCGGCGTTGATACTGTAGTGTGTTGGACCTTCAGTCTAGAGAACTAACTTCTACGTTGCGGCTGGCTGGCGTGCGTCAAGCGACTGCAGAATTTTTTTCTCTCAGAATTGTACAAGGGATTTCGAACGGTTTTTGAAGCGGGCTTCAGCGTAGACTCAATTCACACTTCACGCACACTTTATAACGCTTGGCCATCATGGTCCATAGTTTTGGGCGTGCACGTGTAATATTGTGGTGTAGGTTTGGCAATCTACACGGAGGTTGCATGCTGCAAAAACGTACGAGCTCCCTTTGGTCAATTTGTCTCTCCGGTGGGATGCTTGTCGACATGTATTATATAATAGTTGGGGCCGACAATATTTTTCCCGCTTCTCCCGATGATGCGGTTGTGCGAACGTGCGAACGTGCGAACCGTGGTTTGCCTTTGTTTTTCATCCCGATGTCCCGTCGCGGTATGAACCGTGACGTACATACATGTAGGTTTTGGTGCATCGAATGCCTTTCACCCTTCTTGTATACTGTACCATCACTCACCACAGCAGTGACTACTGTACCCTATTCTATCGTACCTGGATTTCACCCGCCCTAACCCTAACAGAGGAATCACGACGGGGGTACAGCAGTAAAATAGAACATAGAATACCGTAAATAAATATCTTCGGTTACCCCGCTCTTTGTGGCGTGTGTGAGAGGCGCCTCAACATCAGGTACTACAGGCAACTGTTCTCCAATCTACACTCGATTTACAGCATATTGCCGGTCGCTTCGTCCTCAGTGTTTTGTATTACACGGCGGTACCGCCTTATCGTCTGGTATGGAATTGATGACGGCGAGGCTTGAGGCCGCGAATGGTCCGGAAGAATATACAAATATGCATACAAGGATCATAGCATACTATCTGTTAACAGAGATCCCCCGTGCGGCGCGTTCACTAACGTGCATGGACTCGGAACACGTTATTCTCAATGGCAGCCCTTTTTGAGGAAGACGAGCGTGGGCGACGCACGTGGCCGGAGTCTCCAATCCGGTGAGAGCCGGATGCAGCAGTCGGTGGCCCTAGGGCTTGTTGGAGGCCTTACATGTAGACTCCCCTCTCGTGTGTGCCTTACAGTACAGCATGCTGCATCAACCTAGGCCGGGCTTGTCGACGCAGAAGAGACGAACGGGCACAAAGCAAGACGCCTTGTTTTGATTACGCAAATCATAGGTGTAGACATGCTGTGTGCATGGTATGGAAAAGCAGGGGGTACCGGGTGGTGAATCTGGGGGCGTACTCCAGCAGCAGTACGTACGGCCCCGAACACGTTGTCTGTCGGATGCACAGGCGTCATCGACCACTCTCGCGGTACCCCCCCTCTGGTCTCCTAAATAGCAGCTGTACGCCTCTATAAGCCGACCAATACAAGTCCCAGACATGCAGCATCTCATACCCCTGACAACGACCCAACCCCCCCGCTTCTTGTTGCAAAAAGCCACGACCCAGACTTGCAGCAACGGCATCGAAGGAATTGAGTCCGCCAACGGCGACGTCTGCTGCCCGACTGCATGTGGGTTCTGCGGAGGGGAAGCGTGCACCGAGGCGGCAGTGAACGCCGGGCTCGACGATGGCGACTGCTGCTTCGGCGACATCATTGTCTCCGGTGCCTCGTGCTCCGAGAACCAGATGGCGCCTTGCATTATTGACGGTGAGCAAGCCTCAGTTTTTGTGGTGTGGTGGTGGTGGTTGGTGACCGTCGACGGGTGTGTTTCGATTCTGGCAAACCGCAGCAATCATCCTTGTCAACCCCGCCCCCCCCAAAAACGAAACGGGCGTGGGGCCAAAGCATGTCGGAACGCCCCCACAATAGGACACCGCGTTGATGTTTTTTTTCTCTTGTTTGTTGTCTGCGCCCTCCTTGTTCCTCTCGGATGCTTTACGTTTCTTCGCGTGAAGATGCCAGCCAAGAATCTGCCGGCGACACTTGCTCCAACACCGACGGCGTCGAGGGCATCTCGTCCGGTGACGGCGACGTCTGCTGCCCGTCCGAGTGCGTCCTGTGCGGGGGCCGGGACTGCACCGAAGCAGCGCTGGCAGCAGGTCTCGCTGACGGCGACTGCTGCGTCAGCGACATCACTAAAGAAGGCGTCAAGTGCTCCGACTCTGGGGCCGCTCCTTGCGTTGCTTACGACTGTGAGTACTTGGCCGTGGTAGGCCGCGGCGGCCATGCTGGTTCGTGGCACATGCTGTTGTTGATCTTTCCTCTGCTGTTTGGACGCGGTGTCCACAGATAGGTTTCTTTTCGCGGTGCCGTTTTCTCGGACGGAGCTGGGGGCGTCGGCCCCACCATCCGATCAGGACACGAACCCGTGCGATCCTTGGGTAACGATAAACCAACTCCCCTTGAAGTGTTGGAAGCATTTCCGTTGAACGAGAGCACCTGTGCCAAGGGGCGTTCTCAGAGGTAGGGGAAGGGGGCGGCGCGGGGGAGGGGGAGGGGGGGGCGCCCTTTCCACGAGTCGCCACAGAGCCTCGGGGGAAAAAGTCCCAGGGGTGGTGTGCGCTCATCCCGACTATTCTGGCGCCAGTCTTGACACTTTCTTTCGGCGTGCAGTTCTGACGCATGGACAGAGATGTTCGTAGTCGTCGAGGTATGTGTACTGCTGTACCCCTGGCCGGAGGCATCATTTCATCCAAGCCCAACCTGCAGGGGTATTTCGTCAAAACTTTACTTCACCAAACCACTGTCAAACGCCATATGGCGTTCCCTTCCCGGGCTCCAGATATAATGGGTAGGCTGTTGTACTGCTGTATGTCTATGACGTATGTAGAGCTTTCCGATCCGCTCCGTGTGAAGTTTGACCACCTGCAGATGTTCGGAATAATTTTCTCCCGCAATTCTGCGGCCCCGCCGATACACGCCGCCCTCTGTCGCTAGACACGTGCGCTCACCAGCAGAGCTTGCGTGGCGGGGTTGACGTTTCTGGCATACGTTGGTTGCGCTAGCGACGTGACGCGCCTTGTTCGCTTTCCCCTTCGAAGACCCTTAATGCTTAAATGTCCCTTCCCCCACCCCTCCCGGTCTTTTCCGGGCCGCCGGTGCCAACCCGTGTTATCTTGCGGCCTTTCGACGTGCGGACCGGACCTTTGGCGGCGGGCGGCGTCCATCCGTTGATCTTGTTGGTCTAGCTGAGGATGAAACTGGTGAGTGTACGTGACTTGCGCAGCCAGGGTTCCTTTGGTAGTGCGGTACGAATATCGGGGTCCAATGTGTAGTGCGATGGAAATCTCGAGCGTTGGGTACCATACAAGACTCAGATATACGTACGTGCATCCGTGTAGTTAAGAATCCCGTGTCCTTTTCCCTGGCAACATTTACAAGTATACCTTACCGCACTCCTCGTGAGGAAGGCTGATTACTGTGGACGGCAGGACATGGCCCTTCGATGCTCTTTTGGTCTCGAGTCGCCGATCTGTTACATAGCTTTGCCATCTCTGCTACCGTATGTACGGAAAGGCCGCCAAGAGATTCCGCCCCACGTGAAAATAAGGCTGCAGAAGAGAGCCAAACATGTTCTGGTCAAGGCTGAATTCATTCAGTACCAAGGCTATACCATTCCAACTAAGCCAATTTTTGTTGTGTTTCGCGACGACAATCTGAGCCTATTTTTTCACACGCATACCGTATTATCATAGTATCTATATTTGTCTTCTTTTACTGGCGCCGACTGGCGTTGTGTTCGATCATCGATCATCAGGCTCTCCCCTGGTTCAGGAAGCATCCACCCCGGTGTACATCGCTCTCGGCTGCGGCAAGATCGGCGACTACGAAGACCCCTTCACGGTTTCGTCGACGGTGTCCGACCTCACCGCGGAGGTAAGACGGCCACCGTCGCCCATCGCCCCGCCCGCAGCAGGCAGCAGCACGTGGTGCACGCGCGGACTCTCTTGTTGTTGTTTGAATGACGTGCCGCTGTTGTTTGAATCACGTGCCGTCGGCACCATCCGATCCCCTATCTTGTCTTGTCTTGTCTGTTGCGTAATCCCTTGCGACACAACACAAAGCGTTTTTTGGAATGGAGGAACTCGAGACGAACGTCGAACAACCCGTCCCCCCACAGAAGAAGGTAGCTGTACTGCGGCATAGGAAGGGGCTGAGAAGGCGGAAAAACTTTTCGACAGGGTAGTTAGGGCAGGGAAAACGTTCTTGAGCCACCTCTGTCAAAGTAGGAAGGAACGATTGGCCTTCGGTGATAGGACCTGTGGGAACAGTGTTCCACACTCTCGAGGACGCACGGTCAACCGTCTGACCGCTACGGCGTGCGAAACTGGAGTACGCCCGCCCCCCGGTAGTCGACGTCGCTTCTTCCGAATCTTGCAACTCATGGGACACCATCGTCTTGTTTCTCTTGCAACCTACTCACTTGAGAAGACCACCATCCTGTTCGTTGTCGTCACGTCCTGAGAACGCCCCCCTCCCCCCCTCACGTTATCCGGCAAAACGCCTGACAGGCGTGCTACGAGCTGTGCGCCTCGGAGTCCTCGCTGTACTTCGGGCTCGTCGAGGGCAACGTCTGCTCGTGCGGCGACGAGGAAACGTTCGTCGAAACGTTCCTCGACACGTACGACGAGCAGACCGCAGCAACGTGCAGCACCGCTTGCCCGGGGTCCCCGGATGAGACCTGCGGCGGGGCCCAAGCCTTCGACCTCTACCAAATCCGTGAGTCGCTTTTCATCCATCCACCCTCGGCGGTTTTGGGTGATGGCCGGGCCACGGTGTTCTTGCAGCATTCGTTGTTGTGCGATACTGTGCTCTACAGACAGACCTCCGATGCGAAATTCTGAAAAAGCCAAGGCAGGTTCACACAAGGGTGTTAGTCTACACGATGCACCCTTTCTTTTCAGATAATGTTTTATGAGATATGCATCCAATCGAAGAATTACTAACCGTTATAGATACGACGACAGTATTAATAGTCGAAAGGGACAGAATCGTTTTGTTTGGATTTGGCCCGGCGACGAGAGAACACCGCTTGTTCTTGGCTCTTCCGTGATGGCGACAGCGTACGAAGAACACATGTGTTGGCGGTTGTGTAGACCAAAACCTACTGTCTCATGTCGTGACTAGTACGCATACGGGCTTATATTGCACCAGTATGTAGCGGAAGTCCTTTTTCCTTTTTCCCAACACACCCACGGCGACGTCCCCTTCCTTCCTGTTGCCCTGCTCTCTGACTTGTACGTGAAAAAACGCAGTGCCGACGTGCACCGGCGGCATCGTCGGCGTCGAGGCCGCGAGCGGGGACGTCTGCTGCCCTTTCTCGTAAGAACACTAACGCCTACATGTACCCATACTATTTTGCGTTGGTGGGTGTAATTATTTTTTTTTTTGCGTCGACTGCGCTAACCGGCTGACAAATGGAAAAACGCAATTCTCAGTGCGGATGAAACGCAAAATACTTCTGGCCATGATCTAGGACCTCATGTGTGAGTGAGGGCTTACTTTTATGTTTTTGCCGGCCCCAGGCGTCTGTTTTGCGCCGTCGAGATCATGCTGACGTCGCGCACTCTGTCACGAATGAGTGTTGTTGGGACGACCTGCTGTGAAAAACACTTGCAAGTGGCTTTGGGAGCACGTTGTGATACATACTGAGTCAACGGTTGGTGTTGTGGGGAGATGTCGTCCTCAGTTGACAAGAGGTGAGATTCTTGGGGGGTTGCAACCGCCTTTGACAAAGGAGGTTTAGCCTCCGCGGAAGCGAGAATGTTGTATTTCACCACTACAGTAATATATAATTGCTGCTGCGATTCATTCGTTTTGGGTGTTTATGTTGTCGGTTGAGACGCTCTTGACAGCTTGTCAAGGCGTCTCTGGGGGGAAGCATACTAGTAGTTGTTGTAGCGTAGGCGTTTGGTGCCTTGCCTTCACGTCTGTGAAGGGAGTTAAGTTGCGTGTTTGCGCCCTCTCTCTTCTGTGATGTGATGTAATCAGGTGCGGTGAGTGTGGTGGAGACAGATGCGTCGGGGAGGGGGGCTGCTGCGAGCACACGATCCAGTCCAGGGAAGACCTCTGCGAGTACACGAACGCGGCGCCTTGCGTGTTCAACGTTGGTAAGGCTGGCTGGCGCTGCTACGACAACTGCTGCCTGCCGTCGCATCAATATGTTTCTTCATCTTTCTGAAGTTTAGTGTTTGTCCTTTGTTTGATCATGGCCCGACCCTACCAAGTTGATTCTTCGAGGACATTACACCGGACCAATACGAAACACCTTCTTCTTTTAAAACCCAAACACACATTTTGCGTAGTCTTTCTTGCCGTTCGGCGTAGCTGCTGCCGTCGTCATCCATAGAACTTGCTTCCCGGCAAAAAAATGAACAGGTGCCGCACCCCCAACTTTTCTCTACAGCAGTTAATGATCTGCCCTGCTCGTCTTTCTGAACCACGACGCCTTCATTTTTGTTTCCGCCGCCCCTTCCGCTCGCCGAACAGTTGCGCCACCCCCGACCCCGGTCCCCGCGCCCACAACGCCTATGCCCACACGCCCCCCTGGGCCCGTGAGCACTTGCACTGGCGACATCCCCGGCCTCGAGTCAGACGACGGCACCGTCTGCTGCATGGAGCACTGCTCCTCGTGCCGGATCGAGAGCGCGGATCAGTGCGTGGGCGTGCCGGCCTGCTGCCAGGAGAAGATCTTGCTCACGGGGGTCAAGTGCTCCGACGAAGGGGTAGAGGAAGGCCCCTGCATCCTCATGTAGGCCGGTACGTACGTGCGTGACAGCGTCTGTCTGTGCGTAGGGTTCATTCTCGCTGCTGTGCATAGGGTGCGTTCTTTGACGAGTTCATTACCGTCGACCGAGCGCGCGCTATGTATCCGGGTGATTGAGGCGGTTGTGTGTTTGAGCGACGTCGTCAGTTTTGACCGTTTCACCAAGTCTTCGGCGTAGAGCTACATAGCTTGTGGCCGCCTGAAGGTATTAGATCAATGATATTCATGATAGCTCCTTGGCCTGGGGGAGAGAGTTGCACATTGAGGGCCGGCTTATCCTCACCAAGGCCATGGTCACACGATTCGATTCGGACACTTGGCAACTCGCAACAGGTTTTCATCGAAGCGCAGAAAAACATGTGCTTACAGTAGTACGCAATGAATTTTCTTGATATATTTCCGTCCCCTCGCCTTGCCTCGCGTCGTGTCCCCAACGTAACAGAGAGAGAAACGCCCGTCCTGAGGCGCGAACCCTGGCCGCCGGAGCACTCACTCGTTAGTCGCTACAATAAGTCTCCGGTTTCAGCTGGGCGCGAATTGCTCGCCCCCTATCTATCTCGGTCTGTCGAGCAGATGGTGTACTTGTGTATTTCAACGCCGGGATTTGTGGCAAGTAAGTATTGTGTTGTTTTACACTTGCTTGTATTGTTTTGTGAATGTGGCGGACCATAATCAGTAACGGCTTCCTCGCTGGACTTGTTGGTTGGGTTGGTTTGATTTATTTCGCGGTCATTTTCGTGCTCGGGGCAGTGTGGGGTATATGCGGTGAGGGCCTCACTGCCATCAGTGTTCCCCCTTCCGCTCGTGATTGTTTCCCAAGTAGTTCTTCTTTGCCTTACTTGGTTTTGGCCATGTCTTTTGCGGGATTCCGCCCCGCCCTCTTAGACCTTGATTAGTCGAGATAGCGTTTTCTCCTCAGCCTGCAGAAATCTGGCACGTCCAAATCTTGACGAGGTTTTGCCTGCGTCCTTTCTGCCGTGATGGCAGCGTGCGAGAAGTGGGGCAACTTGGATGGAAACAATCCCGGCTGCGGGTTGACGTGGCACTGTTGCTTTTTCTTGTATAGGTCACTATTTTCGGCAAGGTGCGCGGTCAAGGTACGCGTAAAACAAAATGTGGCAGTCTATGGCCTGCATGTGGGCTTTGCTTGTAATATCTCAGGGGCGCAGGGAACGTTCGACAGATGGGGAGTGTTGCCGCGAGTTATCGATATGTCGAAGCGGAGGAATGTTTTGGATCTCGCTTTTCCTTGTCGGAATCTTTTTTCGATGTTCGAGCGCCGGGCTGGCGCGTGTCCACCTACAGTAGAAATGTCCTTCACTCATTTTTTCACTGGTTAGCGGCAGCTACATGCGGCAGGCAGCATTTGTTTTGGTGTCAAGAGAGACACAACGTGTTGATTGAGTGTCTTGCTCGGTCCTTCGGGAAAAGAGCATGGGGGTGGGGGAAGATAAAGAACCGGTGATTGTTGTCATGCATACATACGTACCCAGACCAGTTGTTGTTGTGTTCATGATGTCGGTTTGGCACTAGATGAGATTGTTTTCGAGTCGGCCGATTCTCTTGCTTGTTTCAGTATGTGTGTATTGTACGCACAGCAGTAACCGCTGCTCCTGTGGTTTTTCCACGTTATTTGAATGTTTTTGTCCTGTGTTACATTCCGTTTGCACGCGTAAAGGGGGGGAGGGCAGTAGCGTGCATCATGTCGTTTTCATTCGCAAGTGAGTACCGCACGAAAGATATAATCTCATGTCGTTTTCAATCGCAAGTGAGCACCGTACGAACGGTATCATATTATATCATCAAGTTTTCGCTCTTTGGTGTTTGCTGTGCTTGTTCAATCTGCCGGTGGCACCTAGTCGCGTCGTCCTTGCACACACACATACATTGCCTTCGGCGAATGCACGCGTTGTTGCTGTACACCATGCAACAGCCATGGCTGTAGTTTTCCCACGGCTATCCACGCCCACCCCCCAGGTGCCGATGTAATGTACCTACGTTTCCGACCTTCACCCAACCCGCCACGTTCAAAGTGTCCCCGGAGGAGTTGCTTACACACACAACAAATTGACGCAAGCGGTAAAAACAACTGTGGCATCTGTCTGCATTTCTTTCGTATCACCGCTCCGGCAGATTTCGAATCCCCAGTCATTTTCCGTTACAACGTTTGAATGCTGACTGGTCGACGCGGGACGCTAGCTAATGGTAGACTCCCTGGAAGAGAGGAGACACGCCCGGGGTGTTCCATTTGAAGGTCCTCAGCCTGGGCGACCCAGAAGATATGCTCGGCGTGTGGTGCACACGTTTGTTGCGTTCAATCCTCCGAGTAAATTCCAAAAGGGAATACTTTCATCCATCGCACAGCTGGTGGAACTTCTGAAGAATTGAGCACCCGCACTCTTGAAGCACGGACAAATTAACACAGTACTACCAACAGAGAAACCACACACATACATGATACAGCATGCATTAAAAAAGCCAATACAAGAGAAAACAGTAACATTCGCACGTATGCACGACGCGCTTTCTCACACACACATGCTGCAAAAGCCAAACCAGAAGATAGCCTACAAGTACAACAGCTGGGCGCACGCATGCCGAAAATAGAAAGGGTGGTGATCTACATGTAGTCGCCGCCGCTTCCACCGCAAGCATTAGACTAAGAATACCTCCTTTCTTCCCTGAACGACCTTTCTTTACCCGTACTCCCCACGCAGAGTAAAAACCTAATACACCTACAATACTTGGTGGACTGTAGACCGTCTAACTGCCACTCTTTTTTTACTGAATGAATCTCTGACACTTATCTTGCTGAGATGCATATCCTCTTCCCCTACCTCCCACATCAACACCAGCACTGCACGTGGGTCACGTGCAGGTCTGTGCCGGCTACACCTCCTAGATCGATTCCTCCACGACCAGATGTCGATTCCTCCACGACCAGATGTACAAATCAAGTGAGACGTTTTCGAAAAGTTGTCGACGAGGCGGCTCCAACGTCGAAATTTTGGGCGCGATCACTGCTAATATAGTAGCATTGATGCAAGTAGTCGGCCGTTGAACATCGGTGCAGGAGGTGTGGTACCTCACGTACATGCAACCTACGGTAACTACTATAGATTGCTCGGCACCCGATCAAAACGCGTCCTCCTTGAAGCACCACGCTCTTCTCGCGGGAAGGAAAGGAAGGCAGAAGACAGGGAGGGGTGACGAAAAGTGAGAGGTCGGCCAGCCACAGCGACGGAGGAGGAAGAGCATATCATCATCAAACATGAAGAAACCGTCGTAACGCCTCCAGGCTCGGCCACACCCAACCACTCATCAAGAGTCCACTTCCTATCCCCTACACCCCGAAACCACGCCAGTATGTCTCCAATCCTCCCGTTATGGTGCTGGCTTTCACTTGTCACCCACGACGAGGGGTTCATCTTTCGAACTCCCGCTGTGTTCCACAGGCCCCAGCTTCAGCAAACATGCATAAAATCAAAGAAAGACTAACAGACTATTGTACCCATTCGAGATAATATCCCACAGTCGAAGGGCATCTAGGTCTCACGAGCAACCTCCCCGACCCCTTCAAAGAGTCGAGATCGACGACTCGCCGCCGGCGGAGCTAGAGCGTTACAGCACGGCACGGCAGTGGAGGGGCGTAAGACCCTCACATACAACCACACCAACAAACACTACAATACCACCTTTTCTAGAGGGGCGACGCCAGAAAGGAAAGAAAACAGAAGTGAGTGATGGAAGTGATGGAAGTGATGGAAGTGATGGAAGTGAAGGCAGGATGTCATGTGTCTTGACGGCCAGCCAGGCCTCTTCTGTCTCTGTGCCAGCGATTTTTCTTTCTTTTTCTCCTTCTCGAATCCCTTATTTTCCTCCTTGTCGAATCTCTTCTGACCGTGCCCGCCCCCCGCTCCCTGCCTTTCTGCTGGTTCTCAGAGATGCCACCGTGGGAGCCGAGTTGTGCATAACGTATGCCATGCAGCAGTACCGTGGACCTCGTAGATCTTGTAGATCACGACATTTTCTTCAGTGGCCTGCGCCGCACGACCACACGACCGCCCAGATCGTGACCGAGGGAGAGACAGCGACGCAGGCACACAAAAGAAATGCAGAGAGAGAGAGGGGAGCGACAAAGACAAAAACAGACACAGACAGGCAGAGAGAGCGAGGGAGAGAGAGGGGGGGGAGAGAGAGAGAGAGAGAGAGAGAGAGGGAGGGAGGGAGGGGGGTCACGCCGTGCAGGCACCCGCGAACGCGCAGACGCACAGCCATAAACCGAAGAAAAAGCGAACAAAAAGGGAAACGCGAAAAAGGTCCTAACTCCGACCAAGGGCCACCACCCAACGTTAACGTTGTGATTTTCATCTGAGATCTTTAGCTCGGCCCCCGTAAGCCTTGTGTGGGCTCACAAAAGGTGCAGAAAAGTTGCGACAGCGGATCCCATCGCAGCCAACGGATGGGCATCGTGGGGCCAAGATTTTGCGTATTGTTGAATGCGTACCAAAAACACCATTTGCCGTCACTGTCATCGAAGTCTAGATCATGCGAGGTCTTCGATTGTCATGCCTGAACGCGGATCACATTGATGCAGATGGATGGGGAGCGGGCGCCAAATATTTGTGTATTGCTGTTGTTGCACCATCACACCGTCTCCGCAGCTCCCGCCTTCACTGCTGTACATTCGTGTGCATACATGGAGTGTTTCGGTTCGTGATGGCTGTCTTGCGAGCCACCTTGCTGCCGACGGAGGGATATCATATGTGTGTAGCCGGGCTCACACAAGGAGACTTGCTTTTCTTGCTTCGTAGACTCGAATCTCCTCGCGGAAAACTAGAAAATGATTGCAACGATGTGTTGTTTTTGATCGTCCCTCTTCCGAACGGCCCCAAGCCAATGGGGAAGTAGGGAGGAGCCTAGCCTTGTCGTCTAGAGGGGCGTGTATCGAGTCTCTTGATTCACTTCCAGTGTGCACCGATTGGACGGCGCTGTCACCCGAATATGTGTTCCCAGACAGCAACTACACAACAACGAAAAATTTGTTATTATTGTGCGCGAAGAAGTTCATATGTGTCGTGTCAACGGTCGATCGCACCTTGGAGGGTAGGAAAACAAAAATCGAATCCTTAGGTCAACGAGTTGGGAAAACAATACACCCAATAGACTGCAAGTGCTGTTCCAAGGCCTAAGCGTTCCTGAGTGCTTGGCTCGAGGTACATATGCATATATCGTACCAATAGAGAGCAATGAATGAGCAACCCATCTGTTAATACGGTACGTACACTTGTGCTCTGACCACGTCGAGGGGTGCGGCAGATGAAAACACATTCGCGCACATCGTACGGCACTCAGGCCAGTGGCTGCGTCCAGATTACTAAACCAGGGCAGCAGGCGTAACAATAATTCTTGCTGGGGTTGGGGCGAACAGACATTTATGTCGAATGAATACCAGAATGCTACCAAAATACTACAATATATGACACAGGTATTTCACTAACATGCACCGGAAGAGTGCATTGGACTACATACGAACCATATCACGCCACGCAAACACTACTAACTAAAAATCGTTCCGACCGCTCGTTTCACTGATTCACTGAGTGAATTGCATCACAACCAACCCCGCCTTGGGCTATCGCAGTAGGTGCAGCTACGGGGAAGGGAATTCATTCTCTGTGCGTACAAGCCAACATGTGTCGGCTGTGGAGATGTGGCGGCGTAAGCCACTCCAAAGCAAGTCTCGTGTTGAAGGAAATCAGCGACGATTCACTCTCGTTGACGCTCTCACCGTCATCGTCAACAGCCCTTAAGGCAGAGATAGGTCAGCTGGGCAATCACGCGTACGGATAAAACGTCAATGCCAATCTTTCGCTGGACCATATCAATGTGTACGGCAAGCGCTGAGTGAGTATCACGGTACCATTTGGTGCGGTATATACCATGGTACCACGTGTACCACAAGAGATGCACCCACCTGGGCTGGAAGTTTCCGATGACGATGCAGAACGCGATAGAGATGCAACCGACGATGATTAGCCAAAGCCCCCCTGCTCTCCACTTCTTCGAGTCGGTAAAGTCCAGAGTGGAAACCCGCCTGTCAGCACGGCAGCAGCAGCACCAGAAGCACCAGAAGCAGCAGAAGAAGCAGAAGAAGCAGCTCATCGTCAACAACAACAGTTCCAGTGTAAAGAGCTCAAGAACAACACACCTTGTCAATCATTCATGCACCGCCGAACACAGCAAAACATAGCAACAACAATGAGCAGCAGCAGCACCAGCAGCACCAGCAGCAGCAGCAGCACCAGCACCAGCAGCACCAGCACCAGCACTGCAAAGAGCTCCAGAACACAACTTGTCCGTTATCCATACATCACTGAACACAACTGCAACTACTGTAGCAACAACACGGCAACGCCATCCTCCTCAGCAACTTCAACTTCACACACAAGAAAAACGTAAGTCACGACAAGCAAACGGATGTGTCATGGACGCGCCCTGGACGAAAAAAAACACAGACAAGAGACAGACAGCAACACGATACAACAAACAACAAACCCACCTGCTGACGTAGCTGTCGATGGCCTCCTTGCGCTTCCTGGCGACGGCGCGTCCCAGGCTGAAGGGGGTCCCCAGCTTCTTGAGCTCCTCGCGGTGATGCCACTGCCGGTGCTGATGTCTCCAGCCGTGCTCGATCTGACACCCGCATCGACATCAGGTTTAGGGTTAGGTGTAGGGGTAGGGTATCTCGATCTCCAGTCGTGCTCCATGTGACATCCACGTCACACCAAACGCCACCGCCTTGTATGCATACGTCATTATGTCATGTCATGTCATGTCATGTCGGTACTGCACCTCCCCCATATTCCCGCGAACACACAGCAAAAGAGACGTGGGTGTGGGTTTGGATTTGTCTCAGGCTACACCCCTACCCTCCCAAATGTGAGGTCGTTCGCAACACACAGAGAGAGGGAGAGAGAGAGAGAAAGGAAGAAAGGGAGAGCCAGAAAATTTCCAAAAAACATGAGTCCGAGGTCGATGGACGCCTCGAGGTTACCCGTTTGCGACAAAGTACGAATTCCGTGGGTAATTAACTGCCCCTCTCGTACTCGTGGTGTGTGCAATACAATACAAGCCACACGGCCCACATACAGGGCAGCTTTGCCGCGGGCATGTGTAACGGCGAAATACTCCTCCGGCCATCATTTTTTTTTTAAGTAAGGGTATTGCAATATTGCGGTAACAACAAAGGAAAACAAATGTGAGTATACGTACGAACGGTTGCGGGTCTGTTTGGGAATAGAGCGTGTTGGCTCTGCCATGAAGACACCATCAAAAAACAGAAAGAGGTGTTATCGTGCTCGCTTCCTTGTCTGTACCTTCTTGTCTCCCGGCCTGTGGTGGAACCCGGGGTGCACGTGGTGTCGATCCTGCAACGAAAAAGAAAAGGGGGGGCAGCGGGGACAGCGAATACTTGATAAATAGGTGCCACGCTAAAAAAAGAACACAGGCTGCTGCCAGCCAGTTAGAGAACGAATCAATCCGGGGTCATGACCACGGAACTTGTCCGGCAGTGAAAGAAACGGGAACGGCATGGCATACCATGTAAATGCATGATACACCATATTCTCTTGGGACAGGGTTCCGGCAGCAGCAACGGAATGGGCACTGGTGCGGCTTGACATGGCCTACAGTGTACGGAGCCTCCACAAGAATAAAATGCTTCATAAAAGCACCACACAACCGCTTTTTTCCAATTTACATACATATTTTTGCACGTTGGCACCCTGAGCGGTGCCCAATTTACATACATATTTTTTCACGTTGGCACCCTGAGCGGTGCGAGGTAGCTCAAAAAAAGATAAAACAAAGCAACAAGAAAAAACAGCAAACACACAGCAGACAGAATAAAGTGTCACGGACAGCGGTATCCCGAATGTCCCATTCCCCGAAGGCAGGCTAGGATGCCACGACAGCAAACTGTAGCTTACCGCTTGAGGGACGTCTTCCTTGTGGTGAAAGGCCTTGTGATGGTGTTTCGTCTTCGGCTTCTGAGGGCACATTGTACGTACAACAGGGATATACCGGCAGCATCACAGAGCAGACGGAGAAAGCAACAGACACTCAGAGAAGAGAAGATTGTTCCCAAATTGCGGTGCGACAACAGCGCGGGGAGGGGAGGAGAGCCAATAAGCGACAACACGCAACGGCCGCCGCCCAATGAGAGCTGATCTTGCGTTCGACGTGTGTGGGTGGAGGCGAGGCGAGTTGCCAAGAATCGCGTCAAGCCCTCGTCTTCGTCGTTCGCAATGGGAGGTATTCAAGCTAATGCGTAAGATGTAACATGAGAGGTGTGAGATAGCATGCGGTGCACGAGAAACCAGCGGAAAGGGTTCCCCCCTGTACCGTTCGCTGGGTAGTAGTATGAACCTAACGCATGGTCACGGAAGGCGTCCGCCGTCAGTTGGACCGGCATGATGTTACATGTACGAACGTACTGAGTAGACGTCGTTAGGATTGCCAACAACAACAACGACATCCAACACCAGAACCCTCTCCATCATAATCACAAGGCTGAGCCTGAGAACAAAAAAAAAAAAAAAGCACCACAACTACCAAGGAGACGACGACAAACGCAACAAGCCAAGCCCAAACCCCACGCATCAAACCAAAAAGGCAAAGTCATCTCATTCCGTGACATCCAACCAAACCAAAAAAGACAAGCAATCTCATATCCCGTGTGGAAGGCGGTGGTGAAGGCCCTCTCTACATTCTACATCGTACCGGTTCTCCATCGAGAGACCCATCCGCTCTCTCCTCCGGTCCCGTCGGCTGTGCCACCTTCCTGGCCCTCTTTTGGTGGTGGCCGTGCCCCTGTCTGTGCGTCTCCCGACTCTTGGAGGCATCTTCGGCTAGCTCCTCCTTCGTCGGCTTGGACGGCTTGGGAACCACTTCCTTCACTCGCTTCTGGTAATTTAACGTCAAAGAAGTTGCAGCAAGGTTGACGTTTCACGACAACATGCAAGCGAGATAAATAACCATAGACTAAGACGTTGCCATTGAAAACATTGGGCACTATTGAAGCCCTCAGAAGCGGAAGTGCAGCAAGGAACACATGCCTCTCTGTTTCTCCCCCCCCCCTCTCTCTCCCCCGGTGTTTGCCATCGGGGTTTGGGTTTTCGTCGCTTGGCAACGACGTTGTAAAACAAGCCCCCCACTCGGTGTTTGCCATCGGGATTGGGTTTTCGTCGCTTGGCAACGACGTTGTAAAACAAGCCAAGTCACTTCGTGAACTCGGCAACCAGGTTACCGTTTTTTTTTTTTACCTCGGTTTTTTTTTTTGGCGGTAACCATAATGGTGGTCGAGTAGATCATGTTGTGCGGGGTCGAGAAACCTCACTCCGCGCAACGGGGGATGATCGCACCTCGTTGTGTTAAAATGGTCAAGCTTCCTCGAGGCAGTTACACAGTGCTTACAACTGTCTCTGGAAGTGAAATACCAGAAAATAAATTAAGTCATACGTAGCTGTCATCCGTACGCAAGGAAGTAAGCACAAGATGCCGAACACCCTTTGCAGGATGCAGCTCACCCTTCATGCGACTCGCCAAATACCTCA